TTAGAGGTGTTACAAGAGAGTAACAAACATAAAAAAGAAGAAGGGGAGATAAGGACGATAGATGTTTGATAGGAAAGAAGAAGCAGACCACACCAGAGCACCCGCCAACCACCAACTAACAAAGAGTAAAACGCAGACAAAAATACTTTTTTACTGTTAAGAAATAAGAAAGCGCATGGAGAAAAACAGTTGCCTGGTGTTAGCAAAGAGTAAAACGCATAGACATAATAACATAAACACCTTTTTAGAGTTGAGAGGGAGCAAAGCTCAAAGACAAATTAAATATAACCAGTCATTTAGTGTTAGCAAAGAGTGAAACATATCGGTGGCCTAGTGGTTAGGCTACCAGACTTGTAATCGTGAGGTTGCGGGGTTGGGGGTTCAAGCTGCGGGCCCGACGTTGTGTCCTTGGGAAAGGCACTTCACACCAATTTTCCCCACTTCACCCAGGTGGGAATGGGTACCCAGCTATCGACAGTGAAAGATTTTGTCAATTTGTTAGTGTTAGTGTTTGAGCGCTTAACCGGCTGCTTGCACTGTATGCTTCCCGGGAAGCTGAAAATGTTTCCGAGTGTTCTATGGTTTTCTGGGGTAATAATATAGTGTAAAGCGCATAGAGCTAACTTTCGAGTGGGGACATGCACTATACAAATGCTATTTATTATTATTATTATTATTATTATTAAATTATTATTATATAAACAAAAGACTGTTTTAGTGCTATCTCGTTTCTCATCCTGTCTCTCCTTGATATGTTCAAACGTTTTTCTTAGGCATCTCAGAAACTGCTGTACCTTAGATTAGTACTACAGTATAAAGTGAGCAGCCGATTTACATGCTGCGTAAAACTAAAACACACTTTGTCCAAACGCACTCTTGTGTTATATGACAGATTGTGAGCAGCAAGTAAAATAGACAACAGTGTCATAGACGGGGTTTTTCCATCACCTTATCAACAGCTCAGCATACAACTCTGTTACACAGGGTACCTCACTCTTCAAAATAGCATATCATCTACTAAGAACTATTTTGTCCAAAAAGCCTGTTTCCGTATACCGTGGAACTCGGATTCAACAAGGTCGCCGGACCTGACCTAAAACCTCGTTGAATCTGAGTGTTCGTTATAGCAAACACGAGGTTTTGTGTAGATAATTACAGGCACTGAGCAAGTAATGTGTAAAGAGAAGTAAAAATAGAGCCTGAAATGCCTGCATATTATGAGCTGTGTAAAAAAAAGACCAATTCGTTCAAATGCACGCTTGTGTCATCTCGATTGTTTGCCAAGAAGTTGTGTTGCTGTGTAGAGCCTAGAACACAGCAACTTTTGATTCCATAAACGAGCGCTCAATTCATTACGTAGATCTACGTCATTAATGATTAGTTGCCCAGGAAAAAAAAAAGACTGTGACGCGTTTGTATCTGCGACATTCAACGCCCGGACTGCTGGTGCCCCCCCCCCCTCCTGACCGACACAGTCACACGTGTGCAGGCCGCCCATCCGACCCCGACACATGCCAGAGTATACATGTGCTTGTGCCAACAACGCATGTGTTGGTATGTAAAAAGGCCGCTGATTGGTCGCATTCAATCAGCTAAGTGAACAGCAGTTCACGATGCAGGGCAATGGATGGTTTCTGGGAATAAATAACGTTCGTTCTGGAAGAAAAATGAGTGAAGCCAGGTCTGTGGGGGCTGTTCCCCCTGAAAGCGACCTCATTGAATCTGAGCTTGCTAATTTAAGTGCTCGTTGAATCCAGGTTATTTTTATTGATTTTAAAGAAGGAAAAAAACGGGGAATCTATCTCCTCTCGTTGAATCCGAGTTCTCGTTGAATCCGAGCTCATTAAATCGAGTTCCACTGTAGTTTGGACAAAATAGTTTCGAGGCAACGATATGCCGAAATCTTACACTAAGCAGTCGTTAAGCACAAGGAAAAATTGATTTTTTTCCAAACATACGCACATGATACAGTAACTAAACTTCCTACGTACCCACACGATATCCTTTCTCCAGCCCTTGCTTCTGTGCCACGTCTTTGGCCACCACTAACAAATGACCCAGCAACTGCGAAGACAGGGCAGGAGACAAATAGAGGATGATTTAAGAGCACATAAATTTCTTCACCATCATTCAAAACTATCTTTCCTTCAACTTCTTGAGGGAGACAGCATCCCTTAGAATGTCCTGCCCAACATCTGTAGTGTAGCAGTTATGCACTTCGCCAACACAGGAAGAAAACCTGAGTTCAATTCCTGAGCGGAGAAATTTTTTAACTTTTATTGAGTATCTCGGTCTTTCTGCTGGGATGTAGTATCCCTCTCAGCCTAGGTTCGCCCTGACAGACTGGGTTAAATTGTGTCTGTGAACGTGGGCGGAAAAACACTGACCTTCACAACAAAAGAAAAAGAATAGTGTACCTCTTAGTCTTTGAATACATAGCACTCGCCTCAAATGGACAATAAACATATACGGTATACATGCCTACAATACCAGCGAATTTTCAACAACAAAAAATTAGATCCAAAAGTATACCCCCCTATTCTCTGCGCAATATACAGCCAGAAAGCAGAGAGGGGGGTGGGGGGGGGGGCTCTCATGGCCATTCAATAGGTCCCGGATTCTAAGCCGAATAGCGACGAAAATTTTTATTCTCTAAAATTGTCTCCTTTCACCTTCTTTCCTGCTCTCTAGTTTTGTTCTTTTGTCTGCTTTAGCCTTCACTATCTGTTCCAACCCCCTCACCTCCTTTGCCTCGTCCTCTGGGCTCCTGACTCTTTCTGCAGCCTTTCTACTAACTGCTACACCCTGGCTTCTTACTGCTGTCTTTCAGCCACACCCCTGATTTTAAGGTAGAAAAGATCTACACCTAGCCTTCTCAGACAAGGGTGAAAATCTTAGAGGTCCCGTGTGAAAGTTGTACGCATTAAAGATCCCTTGGAGGTCGAAAATCGATAAGAGTAGGCTTCGACCACCATTCGGACAAAATTCAAAATTTCCTACAAACTGAAAATGTTTAATGTGTGCAGTAAAACACTTTAAATTTACCCCCAAAAAATTTTTTTATAAAAATACAGCCTGGATTGTTGAAGTACTGCTGTAAAGGATTTTTCATTGAAGAATTACCTGCCACTCCAGTCTCACAGAATAAATCGACTACCTCAGTCTAAACACAACAACAAACAATTCGTAAAGCTTACACACTCTATTTGACGACTAACTAGTACTTGATTTCACACAGGTTGGGTTCCCTTCAGCATGTCAGAATTCACTTCGTATTATACGCCCAATATAAAAAAAAACGAGCTGATTTCGGAGTTCAAGTATTCCAGTGTTTTATATGCAAGGTCATATTATAGACTTGTGTTTAGTGTTTACCATATATTTTTGCCTGCTCTACTCTGGCATTGACCAGATGACAAGGACATGTGGTTACTTGAGGGAGGCATTGCGCTTCCAAGAGCGAAATGCTCACAGCTAAAGGGATTTGAAAACAACAACAACAACCATATATTTGGGGTTACATCAGGGCATCCTAAACGCACATGTATGACTCACCATTTCGTCTGTATCGTCAGCGAGACTCAACATGGGAATTATTTTCTTTGGGATGACGAGGAAGTGGACTGGGGCCTGGGGGCTCACGTCAGAAAATGCCAGACACTGAAAAAAAAAAAACACGCAAAAAGATGCAGATATATGAACAAAAAGTCATAGCCCAACAGCTACTTCTATACTATAAGACAAACATCCGTACAAACAGCCATCTCCAATCCCCCCCCCCCCCTTGTGTTGTTTTTTTTTTACAATATAATGACACTGCGTAAGATGGTCACCTTTCTAAGATGGCCACTTTTCTCTTGACAACAGGTGGCTGTCTTAGACATTTTCGACTGAAGTTGCCAACAGACTCTACCCATGCGGCAAGTCAAGATGGTGGGCATCAGCCAAGTAAACCCTCTCCAAACTTTTCACACACACTTTCCTACATTCAATGGATTCAAGCTATTCAAAGCAGAACTGCAACTTTAATGGGAGAAATGTGAAGTAAAGATCTCTCCAAACGACTCATGGGTTTCCTTCTCATTATTATTACTTGCAAGTAATCCAGCCTTGACAAAATTGTAATTATAATGACAAACCTGAATATCAAAAGAAAAAGAAACTACTATTTGAAAAAACATAAAACTGTAAAAAAATTTGGTGCCTCCAGTATCTTTGCAGTTTTTAAAAATCTAACAAAAACATACACAAATATCAAACTTTTTAAAAAGTAGAGCCATACTTCATATTACGTCATTTCCTCACAAACTGAAAAATTGCAGTTCCACATAAACATGGAGAGAATTATTTTCCTCTCCGTTACAATAATCCTTCGATATCCATGAGAACATTTAGTGTAGAATCAATTACACAACAGAGTCTATCTTCAGGGAGAAATGTGTCACGATACAGTGGAATCAGGCGCTTGTCAATTTTTGCATATATGGAGTTACTGGTTTAATCTTAAAGCCCATTCATTTGTCTTGCTTTTGATGAAAAAAAATACTTGTCAATTTTTGCATATATGGAGTTACTGGCTTAATCTTAAAGCCCATTCATTTGTCTTGCTTTTGATGAAAAAAAATACCCATCTATCTTAATTGGAAGTCGAGATATTTGTGATTGAAGGAGATGGGGGGTAGCCTGTCATCATAGGTAAAATTAGCTAGAAAACGGACGCCGAAGTTTGGCAGCTTCCAAAGCTGTAACATCCTCGAAAACTGGAAATTAACATTTTTGTGCCCCTGACCAACGTTTTCCAGTAAAATCCAAGCAGAAATGTGTATTTCAAAAAATATAAGGGGTGTTAATTCCATTATAACAAACAAAAAATCGACAAAACTTGCCCAAAGGGAAGTAAAACATAGGTTTTCTTCAATTTCATTATTTTTGGGGGAGTGCCTCATTTCACCATGACGCCAAACAAATTCTGTGAAGTCAAGCCTTCACTACAATGTCCCAATCTGATTAATATCTTCAGTTCATACCCGTTCATCCTCATAAAGAATATCTGCTGGAATAGACTTATCTATAATCTTGGAGAAAATGGTCGGCTCCCCAATTGTGAATTTAGCACCTTGAGCCTTCGACACTTCATCCGAGCAGGCTCGACCTGTACAGTGCTGAAAAGGAAAAGAAAGAATAGCTCACACAAGAATGCAGTCTAACTAACATTATGTCTATATAGTTAAACAGGCCAGACATAAAATCTTTACATTACGAACAAATTTCTCTTCATATATGTTTCAGATACAAAGTAAAACACATAAAAGAAAAAATTTGGGACCTGTAAATCTTTTCATTGTTTGTGTTTCACTATGTGTGTAATCCCTTCTTGCGAGCCATTTTCAACATATTATAGCTAAAGATTTATTGTACTGAATTAAAGGAGAACAAGTAGGCCTGACAACTTCTACACAAAGTAAAGACTACTATAGAATATTCATTGCTGGTTGGCAGCTGCTGAGGTGTGATTTACTCCCTCTTTCCTATCAAACATCTAACACCTTTGTGATTATCTCTCCATCTCTTTTGTGTTTGTTACACTCTTGTAACACCCCCAAAACTTTAGCACTGATATGATCTATTTGTTGGGAGTGCAGTAAAGCTTTTACAGTAGTCTCCGCCTAAACGCACACCACACAAAAGCACACTCCGGTCATCTGACGGGTTTTTTACTACATAATTTAGACGTACAAACGCACGGTCACTCCCTCTAAATGCACCCTCCGATCCGCAAAACATGCCGACAGGTTAAGCTGAACAGAGGGAAATCTGCACAGCTTGCATAAGACAAGCCTAGACAGCATGATATTTGGTGAGACTGCCCCTCCCGCCGAACAAAGAGAGTGATGGACAGCGTTTTCACACCCAACTTTCCACAGACACATAGGTCTATGACTGATCAGTGAAATGTTGGGGGGTTGGGGGACTGAAAAGTTATTTGATTGGTCACTGGAAATGCATCTTTAAGAAGAGAAGGTTTCTGACTAGTGTTTGGGTGACTGCATGTAATGTTTAGTTAGACCAAGGCCTATGATGCGCAACACGCGTGAATGCTCTTCCATGAATTTACGGTCGGGGGAGGTCGCTTGGAAAGCCACCTGGCTGGGCCGTCGTCTCTATGACTATCACCAACAGTTTCCTCTTACGCTATCTATTCCTGTCATTTTATGGTGCATATCATTACATGGAGTCTGTATTTCTTACCCCTCCCCCCCTCACACACACACACACACACAAACACACACACACACACACCCATTCAAAGCCTTTGTATTTTTAACCACAATCGGGGAATCCTTCACAAAACCGTCACGTGTCATCATATTATGGGCCCAAAGTGACCCCCACCCAAAAGGGAGGTCACTAGAATATCAAGGCAATGAGATGGCTGCGCCCTTTCCTCTCTTTACAAAGGTTCATGTAAACGCACGCTCCGTATTAACACACGCTAAGGAGCCCTCCCGAGCACCGTGCACTTAGGCGGAGATTACTGTATTAAAACAAAGCTATACATTTGGTTATTATTTGTCACAATTATAGTTGTTTTTTGTCAACACACAAAAAGAATCTATAAATTTGTCACATAGAAATGGGGAATACTTATCTATATAGGAATGCGTTAAGGGATAAATGGCTGTACGACAAATACAGATATTTTACATTAGAGAGGTTAAAAAAAGTGAAATGGTATAGTTTTATTACCCCTATCAACAATATAAGGTTATTAAGAGGCAGGACCTCTTAAGTTTAAAAAATGTTCATCTCCGAAAGGACCAAGCCAAATGGGAAAGTGCCTTTCCCAAGGACACAATGTTCGACCGAACTGAGGCTTGGGAACCCCCCCCAAACAAACAAACAAAATTTTGCAATCTCACAATTACAGGTCTGGTCAGTAGGTTAAAAACGAACATACCACAGCAGCGGTTGGCTGGATAAACCGAGCGGCCACTCCAACAGCTGCCACGTACTTGTAGGCCTTCACTGTCAATCTCAGCTTTGCAAGGCCAGAGACGATGCTCTTTGAAGCAAGTAGAGACATCTCTACTGTCTTGTTTGCATCAGACAGTTTGAACAAATCTTGTGTGGCGATTTTCTTCTGTGGCAAGTAAAAAAAAAACGACATTTCAAAATCCTCTGCTTATTCTTTTCAAGGATAGTTGATTTAATTTCTGTGAATACGAATAAAGTTTTGAAAGTACTGTGCCTTCAGCAGAAGAGGGGAATTTTCATTCCAACCCGTTCTTTTTTTAAAAATTGATATGGCAGACCACTTTTTTTCAAGCCTTGTCTTAAATACCAAAGAGAGCAAAAATTCACAAACAAGAAAAGCCCCATCCTAAGAAGCCACAAAAAGACTTCATTAATTACATACAACATAAATCTCATCCTTGAAACAGATGGGGCATCAAAAGAAATAGTGCATTCTTATATATTAAGAATATATATCTATATAAATCAAATGTGTTCTTTTTTCCCCAGCTCGCAGGAGAAATCAACAGGCTTTAAATTTAACCTAGACTCAAAGTCAGTCAAAAATATACATAGGCTAAAATATTTAATAGGCCTACATAACATATAGGCCCTATATAAAGATTATGAACTCTTGACATTTTTTAAAATTGATGATCCTCTCTATTCAGCCAAGCAAATTTGCTGTTCTTCAATCTCCAACAACAAAGATGTCTTTAACTCTTTTCGGCTGTGATAGGGTGCCTCAGTATTGTTTCGTTTTAACATGATCCGTCATTTATAATTACTTTTTATTGCTACTGAAAAACTTGGAAAGGATTTAGGAAACGAAAACGTCTAGTTTCACTTTGTCAAAGCGTGGGTTTGGGGAAAAATGAGTGAATTAGTTCTTGCAATCTTGCATCAACAAAACGATGGAACCGGACTCAGTATAAATATCATAACTCAAACAAAAATTGGAATATTGCTTTCAAATAAAAAGCTGCGCATTCAGAAATTCATGGATTATGCTCTTGGCCTGTAAATGATACGATAGCTATGCTGATTTGCTTTCACATGTTTGGTGAATGTAATTTTTTCCGTCAAAATTTATTTTTCTCATCACCATCACCATTTCTAACCCTTCTGATGCATACTTATGTTCAAAATTAATTCTTGTTTTATATTGGGATGTATTCCTTATTCAATTTGATACATCATATGTTACATTTTGAGTCACGGTTATGCTTCTATGAAGTTATTTTGTACACCACCTGCATAGCCAAATCAAGCCACAAGTTAATGATGTCTAGACCCCCAAAAAATACGTCCGGAACAAGATAAGATTTGTAGCATGCATACAGAACCTCTGAGAATGTTTCACTGTTATCCCAAAAGATGAAGTTTTAGATTCAACTTGAGGAGAACAAATACAAAACAGACTAAGAGAAAGTTCTGGACTACTGCATGGATGCAGAGCCAAAATCAGCATTCTTTACTTTTGGCCCCAGGAGTACCACTGGATATTGATACTGGCCTTAATACTCTGATTGGACGTTTTATCCGAAAGAGAGCGAGAGATGCTCTGCAATGTTTCAGTACAAAATGAGAAGTAATATTACACATGTTTTTAGTAAGGGAGTTTTTGGGTGGGATTGCCCCCCTGACCTTGAAAACATGGGGGGTTTCAGGGGGGCACCCCAGAATTAAACCATAATTTGATGTTTTGCAATTCAGTTAGGTAGGTTTAATATCTTTTGCTCACTGAGCGTTAACATCATATCAGCACGCGCATCTAAAAGTAATCATTTAGAACTAAAAGTAATTGTTGGTGAACCCAAAATCCACACTCCCTAGTTATCATTGGGACCAAAATCGGATTATCCCCCCCAAATTTTTTGCAGTAGTAACAGTGGGTATGTCTTTTCACCAAAACTCACCGAAACTTACCGAAACTCACCAACAAAACTCACTGAAACAGTCAATGACTGCGTGACTGAAACTCATCAAAGGTTGGCCCACTGAATTTTTTGCTACCTTTATATAGAGCTAGTTCACTCCCCTCCTCAGTTTGAACTTGGATCTATCCAGCGTATGTGTGTTTACAATAGAGAGAGAGAACCTTGAAGTTTGCAGACAAAATATTGTTTTATACTCTTCTACATCTCTTTTACTGTTATTTTACATTGGATGATAATTTCTGTTGATGTTCTTTCCTATCTTTATCAATAAGCATTTTATATCACTTTCTTCTTTTTCTTCTTCATATCATTTATCTTCATGATAAATATGAATGTTCCCTCTATTTCTACGATTCAAAAAAAAAAAAAGATTAAGTTAAGTACCACCATACTTAAAGTACTGAAAGTGCTCCGTTTCGTGTCATTATTCCTTCTTGTCATCCTCCTCCTCCACCTCCATTTCCCTTCATGTTAAAAAGTGCCCATCTACAGCAATTTAAACCCCCCTACCCCTGTCTCTCTCTGTCTATCCGTCTGTCTCTGTCTCTGCATGTTCTGTTCTATCTTTGACGAGAAGTTGACAAATTAGGGCATTGAAACATGTGTGTGTGTATGTGTGTGTGTGTGTGTGCGTGTGTGTGCGTATGTGTGTGTGAGAGAGAGAGAGAGAGAGAGAGAGAGAGAGAGAGAGAGAGTGTGTGTGTGTGTGTGTGTGTGTGTGTGTGTGTGTGTGTGTGTGTGTGCGTGTGCATGAGAGAGAGCGTTTGTGTGTGTATGTGTGTGTGTGTGTGTGTGTGTGTGCGTGAGAGAGAGAGAACATTGAAGTTTGCTGACAAAATATTAACCTTGATCTTTCATGTATCAGTATCAGATGTCTAGGAAGAAAGCATTCCCATGCATCGAGTGCAAGAAGAAATGCACAGATTATCAGCGATGTATTGAATGCTTCAATTGCCAGGACTGGATACTTGTAGTTGAAATGTTTATTTGAGAGATAATAAACATGATTGTTTCATATATTACATATATGAATCAAAGCATGATGGACATATAAGACCATTTATATATATTCTTATTTGCATTGTAAACTTAAAATATTTGTAAGCTTCTTTGCTGAATGATTGTTTCATATATATATTATAATTATTATACACATCTATAAATATATTAAATGTAACAAGTTTTAATATGCACAAATATTTCATTTGAAATACAATATTGACACTGTTTAGCAATGCCAATGAAAATTTAATTTTTCACTTTAGCCCTTTTTTATTTGGTACCTAAGAAAGAATTTTCAATTCTAAGAATTATGCTTCTTGAATTTTAAGAATCGGTTCATAAATAAAAAAAGTTATGGGGTTGTAAAGGTCGGCAAAATACGGATGACCCACATATAGGAAAATACTCCTAAAAAGTGGACCACGCAGTACAGATTCTGTAAGAAAATCCACGATATCTCGGTAACTAATCGGAGTGTTAGAGAGATATTTGGCTACCCGATGTGTTTTTGGGTGCAGAAATCATTTCTGCAGTCAGATCTACTACCGATTTTGTAGTTATTTTGTTATAATTAAAATTTTGGTGTACATATTACGATTTTGCCAAAAAGGGGTGTCGGGATGAATCCATTTTATTTATAATAGCATTGTGTCACAACATGGGATCTTTAAGAATATATGTCGGCAGCGTGACTAAATAATTGCAAAGCTTTTTATGATGACTTTAGACCATGACAGCCATAAAAGATAAGTTAATTCAATCTAGCATGCCGTACAAGTAAAAATTCTTTTTCCCCGTTGAGACGCGAACACCCCGAGATGAGATAACCTCGCCTCGGAATACCCCCATTCCGATGTTACAGGGGAACAGAGAGAAAAACAACCGGATGTGCGCGCCCGCCATTTATTTCAAGTGACCAATGAACAGGCCCGAAATAGTCATGTGGGGATTTGTAGGTCACATACATTTGCCGCGAGAGTGAGGGGAAAATGGCCGGTCTCCGTGCGAAGCCGCTTTGGATAGGGGGGTAGTCGTGCATTTATGATCGGGTCTAAAAAACTACTTGACACAGAACGTTCAAATTTGAGTACACTATAGAGGATAGATAGATCTATTACCATCTCGGCGTTGAAATTCAAACTCCTTATAGTTTTTGGTGTACCCGATATGAAAGTATTCCCAACACCAAAAGTATAGGTTAATTTATGTGTACGAACTTCAACATCCACATATCATTAGTTTGCCCTATTTTCTGATTGGTTGCCGAGTTTCATTCGGATTGGTTCGGAAATAGAGCAGACCGAGTTTGACAAAGTTAGTCACCTACGCTTCGGCCGGGTCCGCAAAATCACCCGCAAACAAGGACTAAATTTTCGCCGCGCGGTAAAGCCCGATTGGCATTGCTACATTGTTTATTAAATGCACAGTTAGCCTACATGATTCCATTTAGCATTGTTTTGGTGAGTTTTGTGTGTTTTGGTGAGTTTCAGTGAGTTTTGTTGGTGAGTTTCGGTAAAAACACATTCCGGTAACAGCAGTAACTTAGAACACCTGGGCTTTTAGGCTATTGCCATCATGTCATAGCTGGTACTGTAATAATTTTTAAGTGTGAAAGTAACAACACTACTGTATGCTGACAGAACGCCTTTTTCTTAAAATCTATTCACAGCAGTTACGAGAAATCAACGATAAAAAATTGTCAGTTTTACATAAGACCTGACATAGAGATCTCTAGAGATGATAGAGGTGGGAATGACATTCTCTTCAGAGAGCAAAGTCAAGATCAATCGTTGATGTAGATCTACTGTGCAAAATAGTTTAGAGACTCTAAATGAGAGAACCTAAAATCGTTGATTTATCAAAACTCCTGTGAATATCAAAAAGGTGTTTTGTCAGATTCCAGCAGAACAGGGAAAGACTTCAGTAACGAGCAACCACCCGCGCAACACAATATTAGAAGAGACCTAACCTTAACCCAACCCTCACCCCTACCCCAAACCTTAACCCTCTGTTCTAGGCTACTTCTGTTTTATAGTGGTCGCTCGTTGCAGAAATCAGCACTCTGGACAGTACAATTGCGGTCCCGTCTAGGGATACTCGCTTTGACCCCACCAACGATTACTTCTTGTTCTAAACGATAACTTTTTGATGCATGTGCCGATAGGCCTCTATGGAGAGAGATAGCCAATCAAACCTAATTGCAAAACATCAAATTATGGTCAAATTCACCCTGAAGCCCACATGTTTTTGTAGGTGGTCAGGGGGGCAAGCCCCCTTGAAACCCCCCTTGCCTTGTTAAGTACAAGTGAAATTTTACTGCTCATTTTGCTGGCTAGATCTCTAGATTTAGATCTAGATCGTGATCTAGAAATCTAGATCTAGATTTAGATCTACTGCTAAAATATCGATACTGAATATTTAAAGGCCACCTCTATTCTCACCCGGAGTGAGAATAGTGCAGGCGAGTCTTGTGGCTATTCTCACCCGGTGCGCGTTCACCAAATTTTGCGTTCACCCTAAACCACAGAATTCTACACTGTGATAACAGAAAAATTTTAGAATTCTGTGCCGTGAACAAACGTTCCATTACAACTGTAGCCTACTAAAAGCGTACAATTTTGTCTGTGGGCAGCGGAGAGAGAGAGAAAGAGAGAGATGAGTAGCGCGAGAATTTCCGGGCAAAACAAAATGGCGACCCGCGTAGTTCGGCTCGATTCGAAAAGTTAATTTTATAGCCGTAGCACTAGTAGCATCTTTGTAGACAACCAAATTAATTTACTTTTGTGTTTTAACATCATTTTTTAACTTTGTTTTGGTCAATTTGATCGTCCACACCGATAGACAGTATTCAGAATGAGACAGAGAGAGAGAGAAGAGGGGAGGAGTTGATCTTGCGAGAACTTCCGGGCGGGTGAGAATAGCCACTTTCATATTTAAATCAGTATCAAGTCTTAGTGAGCCTGCTAGAACTAACGGGACCACAGTTGTACAGGAGAGCCCGGAATTCCTCCTCAGAACAGTAGATCTATATCTAGATCTACTTTCGTTTTCTTCAAACTGGTTGTGATTGTTTGCCTCAAACTCAATGCAATCTCTGTCACTGACACCGACACTACTACTAGATTTCTCGACTAATCTACTGAGTCTACTGACAGTACTACTGAGTCTACTGTCAGTGTCAGTGTCAGGTCAACACGAAAGCAATTCGTCTTGGTCAAGTTAAAATCATGCTAGATTTAGATCTAGATCTAGATCTAGATATAGATAACTAGATCTAGATCTAGATAACTTTTTGATGCATGTGCCGATAGGCCTATGGACCATGGAGAGAGATAGCCAATCAAACCTAATTGCAAAACATCAAATTATGGTCAAATTCACCCTGAAGCCCCCATGTCTCTCTCTCTCTCTCTCTCTCTCTCTCTCTCTCTCTCTCTCTCTCTCTCTCTCTCTCTCTCTCTCTCTCAGACTAGTGTAATAAGCTCCTGTTGCATTAAAAAAACGTATGCAGGCAAATCATAATTCGCTTAAACAGGAGCCTGCTTCCCAAAAAGTGTACGCTTACCACCACAGACTTGTTGTCTTGCAACAACAATAACAACACTTCCCCCGGCGGACCCTCGGAGTTCCCTCCCGTCTCTGACCTCAATTTTTCTCCCCCAAGACACAAGAGAATAAGATGATGAGATTCGTGTTTTTGTTCGTCTAAAACAATGTAATTTACATGCAGCTCTCTTTTCTTTTCGCATTTTCATTTCGCCATGGTCATCGTGTGGCGCACGATCGTCATCCAGCGTCGGCAAATAAACCATTAAAGTTTTTGTAAATTTTAAATCAGGCTCAAGGAATGTTAACAACAAGTCTGTGGTGGTAAGCGTCAGGATGATGTATCAACTAGCGATGCAATTCTGCCCCTACCTAGACGGTCAGTATATATAAGAACGTTTAGGCCCCAACCCTTATTCTGACAGAAGCAAGCAAGAGAGTTGAAATATGGCACAACCAATAGGCTACTATTTCTCTGCATAGACACCCTGCAAATTGACAGTTTTGACACCTTTTTTTTAACCTTCTAAAATCCTTGAGCATAATATGACTTCGGATGGAACCATTCTGTCTGTCTGTCTGTCTGCCTGTCTGTCTGTCTCTCTGTCTCTGTCTCTGTCTCTCTCTCTCTCTCTCTCTCTCTCTCTCTCTCTCTCTCTCTCTCTCTCTCTCTCTCTCTCTCTCTCTCTCTCTCCCTCTCCCCCTCTCTCTCTCTCTCTCTCTCTCTCTCTCTCTCTATATATATATATATATATATATATATATATATATATATATTGGGTTAAATTTATCGATTTTTATCCCCCCCCCCCCCCCCCCATCAACTCTAGTACTTGAATTGGATGTCTTTCTCAGTCTATTCAATACAGCCCGTGTCTTTTTCTGTGTCTACCAATACATGGCAGGCCTATATTATTATGTCCTTTTCTCTGTCTATTCAATATAGTCTGTGTCTTTTCTCTGTCTATTCAATATAGCCTGTCTATTCAATACAGACTGTGCCTTTTTCTGTCTATACAATACAGTGTGTGTCTTTTCTATCTGTCTTTGTTAAGGGGGGGGGGGGGTGTTTGTTTTAGTAGAGGTTTTACGCCACTCACAACTTCATAATGTCATATTATGAGCGCCAGCGTGTTTTTCTCTCTCTATTCAATACAGTGTACTGTGTCTTTTTCTCTGCCTGTTCAATAGAGTGTGTGTCTTTTTCTCTGGCTATTCAATATAAGCTATAGCGTGCGTCTTTTTCTGTCTATCCAATGCAGAGTGTGTCTTTTGCTCTTTTAATATAATACAGCGTGTGGGGGGAAACACAGATGGCAGAAGAAAAAATTACCAACGAAAACAGCAATTATCTCCATAATTTCAAGTAAGTAATATAATTGTCGCTGGAAATCACACCGTATTACGTTATCAGAATAAGGGTTCCACTGCAAAATGCCCAACTGGCCAAATCTGAGCTGCGATGCGTACTGCCTGCAAACCCTGTCCACTCAATCATTTTATAAGAATTGTCTTTTAACACTATCCGTACGCCCTGGGGTCATTTTGTACCTCTGGGATTGTATTATTCACATTTTAGAATACTTCTAGTTCTAGTGCGAAGATCTCTTTGAAACTTTCCGTGTTTCTCAAAAAAATCATTTTGACGGACTGTATTGCAAAGCTACGGTACCCCCCGGGGCGGTGCCACTGACTGAAGAGTCTTTAGGCCATTCCCAAAGGGGGAACATTTCTCGTTCTAGTGCTCAGTAGAATAGTAAATGGGCTGATCTAACAATGTCATGCTCATAACTGTGCCTGGACTACGACAGTGAACTACTGCTTTTTCTTTCCTAATCCTTACTTAACTTACTATCGTCATTTTCCTCTACTTCATCTGCATGTTTGTCACACTCTTGTGACCGGCTATTTCCGGGGTGCCTTGATAGTCGAAGCAGACTTTGTGCGGCTGAAGCTTGAGAGGTGAACAGAGTAAGTCTGATTCCCTGTAAGGACTTCTCTGTACGCATCCACCCCTTGGCACTCATATGACCTTATGCAGTTGTGAGTGCCGTTAAACCTCTACTAAAACAAGAAGCGTACGGATTGGATTAAAGAGTAAATTTTCTCTTTGGAAAGTAGTGGCACAGAGTTCCCCACGTCGTATGAATATGATGGTAAAACACGACGTACGGATAGGGTTAAAGAGTTTTTTCTCTTAAAATGCGCTGTATCCATCGATGTCTGCTGTTGCAACAATGTGTTTCTTTCATACGTTCAAACCCTGTTACCGTATACTGCTTACTTCAGGACGAGGTTGGTGAGTGGGGCTGGCGATATACTATAACAGGATAGCAATTTTTTTTAATAGTAGAGGGTTTTACGGCGCTCGCAACTGCATAAGGTCATTATGAGCGCCAAGGGGTGGGTGTCAACAGAGACGTCTCTACGGGGAATCAGACTTAGATTGCTCACCTCTCTAGCTTCAACAGCACAAGGTCTGCTTCGACTATCAAGGCACCCCAAAATATCAGGTCACAATAGTAAGGATCAGGAAAGAAAAAGCAGCAGTTCCCTGTTGTAGATCACATCAGGCACAGTTATGAGCGTGACATGAGTCAGCCCATTTACAATTCTACTATGCTTGAACTTGAACGAGAAATGTCCCCCCTTTGGGAATGGCCTAAAGACACTTCAGTCAGTCAGTGGCACTGCCCCGGGGGGGCAGGATAGCACTAATTGGCATCTTGACTAGAGGTAGAGACTACAGACAAACTGTGGCCAGCCTTGACTCATCTAGATCTGTCTACTGTCTTACGCGATTGCCATACCAAGGGTAAAAACAAAGTTTCATAGTCAATTACGCTGTAGCGGAACTGACGGCTTATATGTAAATTCAAATTGAAATGCTCAGCTGGATCAGAAACCAGGTTGTATGTATGTGTCAAGTACCTTGTAGAAATACATGGGTTTTTGTTTTTTTACCCGACACTCGTCAGTCCTCGGGTAGTTTCAGAACTTTCACGTGGACTTCTGAATCTGAGCACAAGTCCTCACAATACAAAAACCTTACTGGTGCCGATGACCAGCCTTTCAGTCATCTGGCTAATCTGGCAATGCTCAATGTTTTGCTGACAGGCCGAGATGGTGCAGTTCATTTTGAAGTTTTTCTAAGTGGCTTTAAATTTCATCCTAATTTTTTATTATGTTTTAGTAAGTGTTTTGTGGTACTTGCAACACAATTGGGTCGTATAAGTGCCAAAGATTAGAAATAGAAGGGTAACAAGAGAGTAACAAACACAAAAAGGAGAGATAAGGACGACAGTTATTTGATAGGAAAGAAGGAGCAAGCCACACCAGAGCAGCCATCAACCACCCACTTCCAGGTTTTGTTTTTGAAATATTGACCAAAGCATAAGAAAAACAGTATTTTACTATTTTCATAATAAGTGCAAACCAGGAGAAGATCGTCAGAAAAAAACAAAACAAAAGGCTTGAAATAGGCCAAACTCGCAAAGACGAGTGCGGAACAGAAATTATCAAGCATCCACCAAGTGTGCTGTACACCACGTGTAGTGTGTATTCTGGCAGCCAATTTGCTAGCAGTATAGCGAGGCAAATGTGCATTAGTTTTTTAATAAGGACCTTACAACTCGGACAATTGGCGGATGGCAGTGTAAAGGGGCAAATGCTATGTTAAGGAGTTCTTTCTCATACATTGGCCAAAGCTGCCAGAAATGCACAGCTGGCAACATAACAGGGTGTGTGTGTGTGTGCGTGTCTGTGTGTGCGTGTGTGTGTGTGGGGGGGGGGGGGGAGAGGAGGGTTATAACAAGGTTCGACTGTACTTTTGTTTTCTCTAAAACAAGGTTGATTCCATCTTCCTCAGTTTTGTAGTAAATGGATTTAAGTGTTTTTATCAAGGAGCCTTTCAGATGTGATAGGCCTGTTTCTCACCCAACACATACATTTTCAATAATAAGAAACAAAGAACAAGTACATCATGTAGATTTGATCTTTTTGTGTCGAGTACATAAAATAGAATAAAATTAAAATAATAAAATATATGCTAAAAGTCATCACAACAACAGTATAGGAATCTCATATTAGATAAAAGTCATGAGGAGAAAAAGAAACCGTGGTTCCTCAATCTCATTGCTATAGGCTAAGTAAAACAGGCAACAAGGGTCAAGTAACACCCCTCTGGGGAAGGGGAGAGGGGAGCGAAGGGGGTGGAGGTTTGTGACTCGGTAAGGGGACAGCAAAAGATGTATCCATTACCACTCCCACCCCTCCCCCCTCTTCATCTTAAGCCATCCGTCAGTTGGAAATCAGAACATGTATACATTCCTCCACCATCATTATCATGATAATATAATAATAATGATAATAATAGCAACAACTTAAACTACAACAACAACAGTAATAATATTAATTAGAACTAGAAATCTATCATAAATAATCCCAATAATAATATGTGTCATGACACAGCAGAATCAGGCGCTCCTCAATTTTTGAGCATGTGGAGTTATTGGTGTCATCTGAAAGCTGATTTATTTACCTTGTTTCCAATTAAATAAGTATCTAGTTATCTTGAATAGAACTCAAGATATCTGCCTTTGATTACTTTGAACGAAATGAGGTCGCCTGGTGTCAGTGGTGAAATAAGCAAGAAAATGGCCGACCAAGTTTGCAAACTCCAATAGCTAAAGAGTCTCTGAAAACTGACATACTTTGTGCCTTTAATCAATGTTTTTCCAGTAAAATCCACATGGAAATGTGTTTTTATATGGACTTGAAAGAGGTTGAGCCAAAAAATACAAATTTGATACAAATTTACAAACTAGCAGGAAAATGCCTGTTTCTCCGATTTCGTTATTTTGATGAGCGCCTGATTTCACTACGCTGCCTCACATATCACAATATCAATACTACTAATAAAGATATTAATAATAATAATAATAATAATAATGATGATGACGATAGGGATGATAGTGATAATGATAGATAGATAACATCTATAGTAATAGTATCCTTGCTTGAAAGTAGGCTCTATGCACTTTACAATCTCGGATGGTTTTGATTTTGCAACAACAAGAGAAACCAGTGCAGTGCAGATTTTAAAATCCTGACAATTTTTAATTATTGCACATGAAGTCAAATGAGGAAGTAAGTGGGCCTCTCACTATTGAGAACAATTAGGAAGCGGCATACACAGTTTCTAAGACTTTTACTCAACGTAAGGGCTTAGAACATCTTGCTCTTACTAGGGAAAGACAGAAGGCAAACAAGGAAGGGGCAGACGCAGAGAAACTAATTTGGAAAACCAGAACACAGATGTCTTTTTTAAATGATTAAGTGACAAAAAAAAACTCTTTTTAGGTGGAAGGGGCGACTGTTTTCATTATGAATTTGGCTTCAAAATGAGAGGCGAGAGGTCATTAAAATTTTTTTACCCTTAGAACTCTGCACTGAGCAAACCTGAACAGCTGATTTTCGACTGATAAACAGCAGTCAATCTGCACGTGCAAGAGGGTGCTATTCCTATTCTCCTTCCGGAGAAACAAAAGAGAGCTTCAAAACAGCGACTGAAGCACCGTCTGAAGCGGACCCTTTTACAGCTGAGTAAATCATAATGTCGCGAATGATCTTTGCTTCAATACAAAACTCGAGTACATATTATTATCTTCACCCAGTGGGGCCTTTTAGCAGAAACAAAGATTTTGCTGTTTTCAGCCTTTCTGTTTATTGCTGCATTATATTTCTTATTCTTTTTCTTTGTACGTTATTCAAATCATTTCAGTAATTTTAATATTTTTGTTTGTACGATTTTCCTATTATTAACATTTCCTTTTCTGCTTTTGTATCATGCTTATAATAATTAACCCTTTGAGCTCTAGCGGTGGCACGTCAAATTGCCCGTATGCCTAGCCACTGATACACCAGTGAGCATGAACCTATCCCCAAACCAGCCCGCCAAGGACAAAATGCACAGGACCTTATTATTTTGAACATCTTTCAGAATTAGATGCTGGTTACGACGAGGACTTCCCTGAGAGAAATATGGAATGTGATTCTGACGATAATACGAATGAAGGCGTGAGTTGCTCAGGAGCACAGGCAGAGGGGCATGGTAGCTTCAGGTAGTCATGGCTCAAAGGGTTAATTAGCAAAATTTAGTTTATGCATCAGCAAATGATACAATGAGCCTGTCCTCAGGACTTGGGTGCTCAAGTACTCCCTCGGGTATTTCATAATTATTCTGACTTGGGCTCGGGGACTCGCACATCCCTGGTAAATAACTCTCCTGGGTGACACTGTTACAAGTAACACGGCATCTTCCTTCATCTTACCAGCCAGGAAAGCAAAAAACTAACAAGAGCCAAAAACAGGCGACTAATGTGACATAAACATATATATGGACTTTCCAAAAACTTGAGGAAAAGTTTTAAAAAATATATATATAAAAAAGTTTTCGTTTTCTGATAATAAAATGTTACAATTTCAAAGAATAATTACACCAGAATAAAATCTTTGAGCAGTTTTAAAAAAAACCGCTCTTCACATTATCACAAGACCTTAAGAAGGTAGCATGTTATTGCAACATTTTAGGGTACAACATTTTAGGGTACAAGGAACAATAGCATGAGGCACAACGGCAAGAGCACTGCATATATGGCAAAAAAAAGCAATTTCACAATATCTAAAACACACTTGTATAGAATGTACAGAAAAGACATCTAAAGAAATATTTCAGGCAATATGAAAGAAAACATTACGAAATTTTTTTAGGGTGACCTTATTTAGGCCACATATGGCCTAAATAAGCTAAACCCCCCTCCCTTACCTTATTTAGGCCTCACCTGTGGCCTAAATAAGCTAAACCCCCCTCCATTACCTTATTTAGGCCTCACCTGTGGCCTAAATAAGCTAAACCCCCCTCCCGATTGGCCCTGCCGCGAGCACGTTCACTAAACTGCCTACTAGATAGAATCTACTACCAAATATTCTCTACACGATCTTTGCTACTACTACTACTAGGCCTACTAGCCTACATGTACTACTACGAGACAGTACGAGAGAGTGTCACTCAGGCAAAGATAGTGTAACTTTGACTCAGCCACGTAGTGTACACTGTTTTTATACCCCAAATTTAACCCGGAAGTCCATTCGGAGGATTTGACCTTTTCACTTGACCAAAGTGTGCCAAAATGGTAGCCTAGCTTTTGTGCCTCCATGAAGGAAAAATCTGGCCCTCATTCAAACCATTGGGATTGAGCAAAATTTTGCGTATTGTGCTTTGTTCTTTACAATATTCATTATGGTTATGATTTGTAAGTTGTACACTGAGACAAAACCGTACTAAATGAGAAAGGTGCACCATTATGAAAGTGGAACGAACTCAGTTGCCTGAAAAGGGTAGTTTGAGCATGTGTGGCCTAAATAAGCTAAACCCCCCTCCCTTACCTTATTTAGGCCATATGTGGCCTAAATAAGCACTCCCATTATTTAAAGAAATTCGTATAAAACTCCATCACCTCGATAAGCGGTATACTAATTACACAGTACAATGTTATTATAAATTATACGAGGTACAGAGCATATATATTTAGGCTATATATATATATATAAGTGTGTGAGTCACGAAGTGGTGGGATCTGGCGCTCGCAAATTTTTAGGCATGTGAAGTCATTCGTATCATCTTAAGTTAATTTGAGTATCTTTCAAAGAAAAAAAAATACTCATCTACCTTGAAGAGAGGTCGAGATATTTGCAATTGAATGAAGTTGGGTCGCCGGTTTTATAAGTAAAATTAGTGAGAAAATGGAAGCCAAATTTTGGTCGCTTCAATAGCTTGAGAGAATTTGGAAAGTGAAAATTTACATTCTTTTTTTTTTGCCTTCAATAAAAATTTTTTAGTAAAATCTACACAGAAATGTTTACATGGAAAATAAAAGTGTTGAGCCAAAAAGCAAAACTTTGATTTTTTTAAAAGCCAAACCGGCGGAAAAATGCCGGTTTCTTTGATTCCATTATTTTGACGAGTGCCTGATTTCACCAAGCTACATAAGCATATATATTTACATAAAATATTATGCATATAAGTTATATATTCTCAGCAGTTCTTAGGTTGTTGTGAAGTATAAGTAATAGTAGAGAGAAGCACATTGACACATTAATAGTCATAGTCATTAAGTATAAGGAAAAAGTAAGAAAGACAGAAAGAAACAACAGTTGGACAAAAAAGAAGTAAGAGCTACCAGTGGCGCCCTCCAACAATCCACAGATCTGCTGTGAGAGAGTCTGCACTTCTACTAACAAGAGCAATTTTTAATAACGTTTTTAAAGGCAATGGTCTATGTGTGGCTCAAGAGAGCAATGACATCAGTGAGGGAAACCATAAAATCTTTTTTTTTAACATAGGTGTTTTTACACCGCCATCGAAACAGTTTAGGTCAAGTAGGAGGCGGACTTCTAACCCTGCCTGTCAGAGCCAATACGGGCTGAGAGGGCTACAACATCCCAGCAGAAGGGCCGAGGTACCCCATAAAAACTCTCTCCACTCAGGAATACAATTCAGGTCACCTGCGTGCAACAGCGAATACCTTAAGCGCTACACCACCACAGACGCGCACCGGTTGTTGCGAGAGAAGCTGCTCTTTTCCTGTTACCACCAAGAACAACATCCAAGGCAACAGTCTGTGCACAGCTCAACAACTCACTACTTCAGAATTACAAAGTTCTATCTGCTCAGTACCCAGTTTTGAGAAGTTCGACTTTGAAAATTTTGACTTTCACAACATGCCAAGCTTTTTCGAAAGCAATTCTTTGAATATAATAACGACTCTGAATATTCTTATGAATTTGATAAAGGAGATAGAACATTTGACTTCTGACCACATGGTCGTAGTAACTCAAAATAACCAAAAATGTCAGATAGAATTTGTAATTCAGAGGTAGCCAACTGCTGCCGTCACAATTTTCAATTGAGTTTTAAAAAAGCACGACACAATAATGGTCTTACAGTGCAGGGAAGAAGCAAGACAGAAACAAGAGAGGGAAAGAATAGAAGAGGAGCTATGAGTGGCACCCTCCAACCAATTGCTTTTGTCACAGCAGTTCATGAACAGGAGCTTAATGGATGATACCCGTAAGTTGCTACAGTAACACTTGTGTCACCACAAGGTGGAATCAGGAGCTTGTCAATTTTTGGGCGTATAGAGCTGTTAGTATCATCCTAAAGATTGCTCATTTGTCTTGCTTTAGATGAAAAAGAATATTCATCTATCTAGTATAGAAGTTGAGAAAGTTGCAGTTGAAGGAGGCGGGGGTCGCTTAGTGTCAAAGGTAAAATTAGACTAGAGAGAAAATGGCCATCAAAGTTTGGTGATTTACAAAGATTAAGTGTCGTTGGAAACTGCAAATTTATATTTTTAGTGCCTTTGATCAGTATTTTTCAGTAAAACCCACAAATAACATTTTTCTTAAAAGGACATAAAAATAGTTAAGCAACCGGGAAAAAAAAGGGGAAAAAAACACTCCTAAAAATTGCACAAGGCGGGTTGAAAAAATGGCGGTTTCTTCCTTTTCATTACTTTGACAAGCGTCGGATTTCACCTGAATGACACACGTTTCGAAGGTGCTCAGGAACAATAACATCATCATGGCTGACCATCCTGTGCTGCTGCAGCAAGACTTAGTAGGTTTTGTAGTCCAAGTCTTCTCCCATGGGCAGCTCGATGCTGTACTTCAGCAGCAGATCCGACTTGTTCAGGGCCCCGACCTTGACCTCCCACACCACAGTGTTGTCAACGGTGAGTGTGGCTTCACTCTTCTCAGGGTGTTTGGCGTCGATGTAAGGACTCTGCAACACCACCTGCAGAGAGAGACAGATATATCGGAGGGGGGGGGGAGGTTCAGTTTTAGTAAGAGTTTACCGAAGCCGGTGGTGCAGCAGTAGGTTAGGCACTTCGCTGTTCCATACAGGAGATCTGAGTTTGATACCGTACCCAAGTGGGGAGAATTTTTATCAAGTATATCCGTGTCTCTTTTGGGATGTGGTATCCCTCTCACCCTGGTTGCCCAGGCTGGCCTTAACAGGCAGGATTGGAGGTCCGCCTCCTAAATGATCTAAAATGTGTTGATAAGAACATACATATATATATATTAAAAAAGCCTACTTTTTTTTTTAAGCAAAAATTTTACAGCACTTGCATCTCAATTAGGTCATAAAAGTGCCAAAAGATTATTGTTGTTTTAGTAAGGTTTGTTTCAGTACAGGTTTTACGGCGCTCACAACTACAAAAGGTCATTCGAGTGAACCAAGCAGTGGATGTCAACAGAAAAGTTCAAACAGGGAATCAGGCTTACTCTGCTCACCTCTCTAGCCTCAGACACCCTGGAAATAGCAGTTCACAAGAGAGTGACAAACATACAAAAGAAGTAGACTAAATGACAACAGTAAGGATGAGGAAAGAAAAAGCAGCAGCTCCCCCTATGCTGTTCCACCACAGTATGAGCATGACATTGATAAATCAGCCCATTTACAATTCTACTGTGCATAAGAATATTTTAATATCCCCCTTTGAGAATAGCCTAAAGACACTTCAGTTACTAGCACTGCTCTGGGGAAGGAGAGGGGGGGGGGGGGAAAGATTTGAGGTGTTACTAAACAGCAATATACAGAGTAAAGAAGGAGAAGAAATAAAAACCAAAGATAAGAAAGAAGACCCGAACCACACCAGAGCACCCACTAACAACCTACACAGACACACTGACTGACGGGACAAACATCCATACATACATCATCACATACAAAGACACATTGACTGACAGACAAACGTACATACATACACCATTACAGACACAGACACCAGCATCTATGGTGTAGCAATTAGGCATTTCTCCATCACATGCAGGAAATCTGAGTGGACAGAATTTTTATCTAGTCTAGTAGCCTATCTCCGTTTTTCGGCTGGGATATTGTATCCCACTCAGCCCCAATTGGCCCTGACAGTAGTGACAGACAACATTCTGAAGCCCATCTCCTAAATGATTTAAATTGTGTTGATGGGGTCCTAAAAAACAACAACATTGAAACAAAAACTAAAAAACAGACAGACTGAATACTTGAAGAAATAAAGTAAGAGGAGAGCAAACTCACTCCAGTAAAAAGTTTGCTGTAAATTCTTTAAAGATAGACATACAAAACTATCACCTCCCTCTGCTAGATTCCTTCTGCTTACCTCTTAGCCTTCAAATGGCCAAAACAAGAATCTTTTTTTTTCCTCTCAGAAAGAAGAAATAAACGATAAACATTTGCAAGCGGTTTTTTTTCTACTACTATCACTACTGCTATTACTACTACTACCACCATTACTACTACTATTGCTGCTACTATTGCTGCTGCTATTACTACTACTACTAGGAGATCATGACATGTGAGCCCTTCAGTGGAAAATCCTGCCCTACCTTTGAGATTCCTTCCAGTAGCTCTCAAGACAACTAACCACTTAATTAACTCCCCAGCACATAAATCCCCCCCTCCCTCCCCCCTTTCAGCACATATACTACCGAGGACACGTCTTACCAGTCCCCAGATTTTGTGTCTTCCAAGTCCTGATTTAAACTACATTGTGTACCCTCCCCTGTGCCAAAAGCACAAGATCCAGGCCTGTTAGTCTGTGGTCCTTGCCCTTGAATTGATGCACGTGTTTGATTCTCTGCCCACCTTTGATTATGTCTATCGTTTTGCATGTTGAATCTGATACGACCGTTTGTTTGTGTTTTCTTGACATTCATGTTGAGGCCTGCCATTTATATCTACACGGTTTAAGTTAGAGATTCAATAATTACAACACACTTAATTCCTATAGATGCCGAAGATTAGAGGTTTAACAAAAAAAATAACATACAAAAAAAAAGAAGAAGGAGAGATAATGACGGTATAAATTTGACCATTGACGGGAAATAGGGAGCAAACCACACAAGAGCACCGCCTAAACTTCACAGAAAGGACTCAACTGACCCAAAAACCCCTCCATCGAACAAGTCTGTCCGGATCGCATCGTCGAATGTTAGCACCATGAATAAAACAAGAGTATGCGAAACCTACTGGACAGAAACGGCTCAGCTCGGGCAAAACGCAGATTGGAATCCCCAGGGTAGGAGATCAAAAGGAAGGCCACATGGAACCTGAAGAAGAGTCACAGAAACAAGAGAGGACATGAAAGAATATGAAGAGGCTAGCCCGGGATATGGAAATGTGGAAAGTGTTTGTGCCCGTTACTCTGATCCAGGGGGAGGAAGACATTCATGATGCTATTTTATGTGTATGTATGTATGTGTGTGTGCGTGTGTGTGTGTGTGTGTGTGTGTGTGTGTGTGT